ACGTGTTAAGCATTTTAAACCACCATACAGTAGCGGTCAAAAGTTTGGAAACTTTTTTATTTTTGATCTAGTGTAGCCAATAGACAATGAAATTGTAAATTCATATCCTACTTACTATAAAGCGCTTCGTCTGTCGTCTGTCTGTCGTCTGTCGTTCTGTATGTCTGTCACGAAATTCCCTAGCTCCTCGGGATCCGCCTGGAGGGACCGGGTCAAGTGTGGGATGGGTGGGCAAGGTCTCACGAAGTACAAAACACACATCAGCTAAGCGGAGCCCCGCCCACAGAGGGCGTGGCGTGCGTCGAAATGAACTGTACCGAAGACCAAGATTTCGACGTTCAAACGTCCCACCACTTAACACTCCAACTGCGTCCCAAAATTGGCATGGAGAAGGGGGTTTACAGTTTATAAAAGTGAGCTCTGCATACAGTAATGGTCAAAGGTGTTCACCGGAGCGGTTTTCATGCGTTAAATTTTTTCTCGGAATGTGCTTGAGAGTAAATATGTATTCTTCTTTCAAGTGCTTTGAATCCTCAGAATTCAGAGATTCCGGAGAACTAGAAGGCACAGCATATCCAAATCCGAAGGAACTGATAAGGCAAGGGAATGCAGAGCACGAACAAATCGTTTCAGCGAGGACGTTTGACCGCAACTGTATGTACTACTTCAATTTCGGCACATTTCTTTCTCCTTCCCCTTTCCCCCGCCAAAAAAGCGAAAGCGAATCCCACTAAACTCCCTACCCCTCCCATCACTCGATGGGAAAATCCCATTGGACGGCAACACTGATGGAAGCCTGTCTGGATTGTGTTGCTAGATTTCTTGTGAAAAAAAGATAGAGCAGAGGCGGCTGAATACCACACTTTTTTTTGAAGAAAAGCACAAATACACTGCTGACGTCATCATGTTCGGAGAGAACTCTGCATGGGAGCCACCTTCGCCACGCCCTCACAACCAACTTTGGGTAATTAGACTGCTAGAAAGTCCTGAGAATACTCATTCATTGAAAGCTTACGACAATCAGGTGAGTTTTATTCCATGGTAATCTTGTTCTTTAGTTTTTTTTTCTAGCTGAGCTTTTCAAAGGAACTTCAGGTGAATGTAACGATCAGTTATCGACGGGATAGCGACTTACCAATAGCTTATGGTCAATATGAAGCTTTTCTCACTCCGCAAAAATCGACCTCAGCAGTAGATTTCACAGGTTGATTTATTAAACATTCCTTCATAAGTCTAGCAACCATTTCTGCTCGTGACACTCTTCAAGGTGTTGAATTGAGGGCTTCCCTTCACGGTCAAATTAGTCTGGTTGTTGCACACGAATAAGATGAGGTGCGTCTCGGACTGTCATTGAAGGCAAAAAGTAAAAGAAACCTCCGAGAACAATGGGATTGAAGCTTTTTTGTGAATTTGACTGCGGTAATGCAGTGAGAAGCGGCACGTTGAGAGATAATACGTGGGTGGCGCAAAACTGCTTGTTGCGAACGAGAAGCAACGATTTGGCCGAAGCGGTCATAGCAAGGTGCTACCTCCACCGTAGCGCACTTTCGATTGAAGAGCACATTTGCGACATTCGTGGGAAAATCTATTTCACACATTAACGGGAGTGAGGCAAATGAACTCATCATGGACTGTGCTATTAGAGGAGAATAAAGATTGAAGAGTTGCTTCTATGCGTTCACTAAGCTCGCTTTTTCCTACTCGGGATGCCAAGCTGCAATTTTATGACCAGACTTCGAAGCGCCTTTCAATGTTATTTTCTGAAGTTTATTGAAGATTAACTACACTAACCACTTGCAATCGTTTAGCAGAGTGTGAAAAAGACGGATAATAGGCGTGAGCGAGATATCGATAGAGGTAGCTGCAGCACTACGCGAGGT